GGCGGCAGCTCGACTGCGGATTGCCCGCTTGAGCGACGCCAAGTCCGCGCATACAGACACGCACGCAGTCGGCCAGGCCCTCGATTGTGCGACGTGATTACACCTCAGCCAACACGTGCCGATTGCATAATGGAAACTTAATTATGCGGCAGATGACGACATAACTTTACAGTCTGTACTCTATGACGACACAACTTTACAGTCAATACTCTACGACTTATGGCGGAACGACCATCGAACATTCAGTACATTATGAACCAGATAAATGAGCATTTGGAGCGACTGTATAACCTCTAAAGACTGTTTGAATAAAGGCATAAAGACTGATAACTTGTATCAGTTATATACGACATAACTTTACAGTCTATACTATACGACTTAAGGCGGAACGACCATCGAACATTCAGTACATTATGTACTAGATAAATGAGCATTTGGAGCGACTGTAACCTCTAAAGACTGTTTGAATAAAGACACAAACACTGATAACTTGTATCAGTAACAACACGCATAACCCTTGCGTAAACGGAAGTACAAAGTAATTTGAATTTTTGACATCAGTGCTAGGAAATAGGTTCGACTTCTTAGAAATACAAGCCTGCGAACTTTTGCCAAAAAAGTTACATTGACGTCGTAAATTGCAATTGATGAATTAATTAATCATATACAAATAGTACGATTTAAATATTTGATATCATGTAAAATTCAATATCTATTTATAAATATAGGATTGTCTTAATGTAATATAGTAATATAGTAGAAATCAATTAAATTACTTATCTAATTTAGGTATTTCTACTGATGTGTTATTAAAATAGCATAAAGAAAGTGTATTTTGACGTTTGATGAGCCATCTCTTAAAAGAATATCTATCAAGTTCTCCAACGCGGACTGGACTTATGTTTATCATGATATAGTGGACAGATAAATGGTGATCGCCGAATGGTTTCTGATAACTTAGCTTCAAGCACGAACAAGAGAAAGAAACAAGCATTTGGAGCATTAATGACCAGTTAGCAAACAAGGTCATTTGCTCGCGAATAACGTAACAAAGATTACGGTTGTTATCAAAGGCTCGCGGTTACTGAGTGGTGATGTCGTTAAGATTGAGATGGGGGTTTGAAACCGGGGACTGGTTGTGATAATTATGGTCGAAATCGTCACGGAAGCCGGGTGGTTTATAATCGGTCACAGGCATAATTAAAATTTACTTAACTATATCATATTTTAAAAGTATTATATATACTTATATGTTCAAGCCTGGAAGAACCGCTATCAGCGAGCTGCTATAGCCAATGCATGGAGCAGCATCAGGAACCTATCCTCACCTCCCCACATCACCACGTATCACCCCACATCACCACGTATCACCCCACATCACCACGTATCACCCCACATCACCACGTATCACCCCACATCACCACGAGCGCAGTAAAGGCCAGGGTGATGATGGAGGCCCAGGATGGCCAGGGTGATGATGGAGGCCCAGGATGGCCAGGGTGATGATGGAGGCCCAGGATGGCCAGGGTGATGATGGAGGCCCCACGAGGCCCAGGATGGCGGGCAATGAAGGCCGCAATGAATGATTTCCTCGCGGCAACAAGACGCGTCCGCTCGGACCATGGTTGAATTAATACATGCATTAATTCAACCATGCGCTCGGACAGCGCTGCTCGGCTGCGTATCTTTTACGAGCCAAGCTCACATTTATTCAGTGATAATGAATAGATAACAGATTCTATAGAGATGTTCTCTGTAATATATGTAGCGAATCTATTGACCCAAGCTCACATTTATTCAGTGATTATGAATAGATAAGAGATTTTATAGAGTTTTTTTTGCGTAGATGTAGCGAATCTATTGACTCAAGCTTCCATTTAGCTAATGATAATGGTTATAGATATATTTTATAGAAATGTTTTCTGTAAATAGATGTAGCGAATCCATTGACCCAAGCTTCTATTTAGCTAATGATAATGGTTATAGATATATTTTATAGAAATGTTTTCTGTAAATAGATGTAGCGAATCTATTGAGCCAAGCTTCTATTGAACTATTAGTGATGAATCAATATCAGATTGTGTAGATATGTTTTCGGTATAGATGCAGCGTATCTTTTCAACCAAAGCTTTCATTTAGCTGCAGGGTGCTCTAAAAATTTAAAATATTTTACAGCATGCCTCTGGTAAATAGATGCAGCATATCTTTTAAACCAAGCTTTCATTTAGCTACTGATAAAGATTATATCAGAGACTATATAAATGTTATTATTAAATATATATAACATATCTTTTGAGCCAATCTTCCAGTTAGCTTCATTAATGATGAATATATAACAGATATATTTGTATACGTGTTTTTATTAAATTAAATATATAACAGATTTTGTATATGTGTTTTTATTAAATTAAATATATAACAGATTTTGTATACGTGTTTTTATTAAATTAAATATAGATTTTGTATATGTGTTTTATTAATTATACAGCAGACCCTCGATTGTGATGCTTACGCTTATATATACATAAGAACATTCTTCGCTAGTATTCTACGATGTTCACAGTCTGAACCCTAGGTACACCAAGATTCTCAGCGAAAAATGTAATTTTCGGGAACTTTGATGACAATATTCTGAAGTCAGCATTAAAAATATCACCGAGAAAAGTATTCAAGTTATTATTTTATTTCAAAGTTTCAGCAACAAAAATTCACCCAATCAACAGTGGCCTTTCGAATTCTCTTCAAGCAGTTCATACTTGACGCGCAACGAACAGCCGAACAGACCAAAACGTTCGAGAACAAAGTTCGCAAACCCTGACCGATGAGCGCGCGTGTATAAACTAACCTGATAATTGTTTGCAAACAGTGTTTTCCAGCAATGCTTGGCACTGATGTTATAATGTGCCATTAGAAAACAGTTATTGGGTATAGGCCAGTGCAGCCAAATTCAGACATTTCGCGTCAACGCGGAAGGACAGATTTTACACTAATTTTCAGGTAGAAGTTTGCTTTGATTCGCAGAGAAGTTAGAGAAATGCATGGAACACGATGTCCAATTAGTGACATACTTTCTCACCCACAGCACGACCAGAGAGTGGGCGTACTTTCAAAACTCGTTAAGTTAACGCAAGTACTTACGCTCTATTTTCCTTGTCTAAGATTGGTGGATTTTGCTTGAAAGGTCGTCAATGATTGGCTGATGAACTTACGATCTCTTAACTTTTTTTGAAAGTATGGCCCCAAGGAGTGGGCGTAGCACTGATACGTCCTTTTGCCACACCGAACTGGGTTAGGATGACCCATACGAGGTCAAAAAAACGCATCGCTATTTGCACAAACTTCTTCATTTCTGTCAGCGGGAATATTTCACGTCCAATTTTCGGCGTGGACGTTAAACCGAGCTGCGTATAATGCATACTTCAACGCTGAAGTCAGCTTTAAGCAAAACATCGTAATGGCATAATCTTGTTAAACATGATGGCATCTTATTTAACTAACTTCTAACTTCTTTGTTTCATTACTTAACTTCTGACGAATATGTAAGAGGCCAAATCGTCATGACAACCGTGACGTCACAAGTCCCAAAAATCACTTTGTACGTAATTATAGCAGGCAGAGATGTGATGTAACTATAAATAATTATAATGTGAGGTTTTTTTAATTAAACTCAAACTTCTTAATGTATTTTGAACTTGCGTTCGTTTTTAAAACGCAAACGACCCTCGTTTGCGAGGATTTTTTTAAACGATCGCTCGTTTAAAAAAATATAACTCAGTACTCACTGCAGTGAGTGACAGAGAGAGCATTTTCTCGTCGACGAAAACTTGAGGTCACGGACGGACGGATAGACGGACAGACGGACGGACAGACAGACGGGCATGGCGAGCACAAAAGTGCATTTTTTAGTGCATTGGCGAGCACAATAGTGCATGTGGCGAGCACAATAGTGCAATTAGAAAATCGCTAAAAATTACGAGTTATTTATAAGTTGGTTTCTTTTCCTCAGCTTACTGATATGCTTAAGTCAGGCGAGTAATCGCTCTTAAGTCGAGGTGGTGTTTTAATATGCTTCTGTATGCGCCATCACAATAAAATTAGAAACGCATTAAAGGCTGATATGGCATATTTATAAACTGCCTCATTCTTGCCAGCGCTTGTATGGGTAATTCGTTCTAACACGAAAAGAATTCTGCAGTGGCGACGACGTAAACTCATGCAGACAAACAAAATGATTGTAAGGAGCTGAAATTATAATAGAATGGGTATTATATATTATAATATACATATATTTTAGAATAATATATGAATATGAATGAGTTACACCTGGATCAAATGAAATAATTGGTTCCCGGAGCAGAGGGTGAACTGAAATATGATCTTGAAGCTGTAGTAATATTTAATAAACACTCCATGGGTAAATGCAACAGATAAATTGAATTAAGAATATAATGAGTAAATCTGTACGTAGCACTGCTCATGAATTGAAATATGAGCTGAAGACTGGCCTGGAGCAACTCAAAGACTGGCCTGGAGCAACACAATGACTGGCCAGGAGCAACACAATGACTGGCCTGGAGCAGCACAAAGACTGGCCTGGAGCAACACAATGACTGGCCTGGAGCAGCTCAAAGACTGGCCTGGAGCAACACTATGACTGGTCTGGAGCAACACAATGACTGGCCTGGAGCAACTCAAAGACTGGCCTGGAGCAACTCAATGACTGGCCTGGAGCAGCTCAAAGACTGGCCTGGAGCTCAATGACTGGCCTGGAGCAACACAAAGACTGGCCTGGAGCAACACAATGACTGGCCTGTTGCAACACAATGACTGGCCTGGAGCAACACAAAGACTGGCCTGGAGCAACACAATGACTGGCCTGTTGCAACACAATGACTGGCCTGGAGCAACTCCAAGACTGGCCTGGAGCGACAAAAAGACTGGCGTGGAGCAGCAGACACTCACCTGGAGCAACTAAAAGGCAGGCTTGGAGCAGCAGACACTCACCTGGAGCGCGGCAGGAACATGGAGCCGTCTATGAAGACGGAGCCGCGCAGCAGGATGTACCAACACGTAGCGAGCTCCCCGCGACTGTTGTACACACATGTATATATAAATTAATTATATTTGTATTACATTTTTATTACCTGTAAGCGAAAACACTTTGTATCGCTGTATGTAACACATTTTTAGATAATTCTAAACAGATCAAATTAATTATATTTGTATTCCATTTTTATTACCTGTATGCGAAAACACTTTGTATCGCTGTATATAACACATTTTTAGATAATTCTAAACAGATGCTAAAATATGACTAAAATTTCCCAATATTTAAAAGAAAAAAACTTTGTATCGCTGTATGTAACACATTTTTAGATAATTCTAAACAGATGCTAAAATATGACTAAAATATCCCAATATTTAACAGAAAAGACTTGGGATCGCAGGTTGCAGAGGAATAATATGCGTTTAAAAATTATTTTTTAAAGACAACACTTCTAAAAAATCCAGTGTCTCCGATGTTACACATGTACAATGAATTTCTAATTTTATTAGCAAATATTACGAATATTAATTTTTAAATTTTATTTTTAAAATTGAGAAAATATATGTTTCAAAATTATTTATTCTGTCAATTGATTCATGCATTGTCTCCGACTTTACGCAAGTGTGAAAATTTTCAGATCGATTGAACAGGTAGAAGTTGTGCTGAATATCGATTATAAGATTTGCAGAAGATAAAAGTATTTCTTCAATTTATTTAAATTAATTTTTTATATTATATATTCTGTCAATTGATTCATGCATTGTCTCCAACTTTACGCAAGTGTGCAAAATTTCAGATCAATTGGAGAGGTTGAAGCGTGTTGAATTTCGATTATAAGATTTGTAGCAGTCAGACAAACAAACCAAGAAGAAGTGAAGTTAAAGAAAAGTGTTGTAAAAGACATTTTGATTGTTAATTATTTGAAAGATTCTAATAGAAGACTAAGATTTCTTTCGTAATTTCGATATTTATTATTTTCAAATTCTTCACAATAGAAGTACAGGTAAAAATTTTATTCATGTATGCTATGCTTCATGATAAGTAAAACAACAATCTAATCCAAATTTTGATAACAAAACACCAATATAAATAAGAAATTAGCTTTGAAATCAATAAAGAGAGAGTAAATTAATTTATAAACTTACTATACTTCATTTAAACAATATTTAAGCTCGGTAAACAAATTGGATTTTGTTCAAGAAATTCTCATGATTGACAATTTCATTTCAACAAAGTTACTCTTAGTAAGAGAGAAAAAGTATTCTTCTCATAGAAAACTGTGAATTTATGGCAGACTCGAATAATATCAGGCTCAAGGATTGCTTCTGTTGAACCGCCTCAGTTTTATTTCAAACGTTCAACACGGTTAGAAAGGAAAAATTTGTGCACTAGGATAGGAGATTTATAAAGCACACTGCGAATTTAGGACCGGATGAATACTAAGGCGATATAGAAAAAACTATCACAACCTAAACATCATTTGTAAGACCTATTGAACACACGTGCAAAGTTTCATCGAGCAGCGTTCATTAGTTTGACTTTGGGAGCTATTTTAGGCTCACAGAAACATGGAAACCGGCTACGATTTCGGCCATAAAAGTGTCCGAGAGTTTGGTATCATTTATGGTATGCGAAAATAATGGAGAATAAAGTATAGATGCAATGATCAATCAGTAGACAGGAATGAATTATAGACGCCATGACCCACCAGTAGAGGAGTGTAAAGTATAGACGCCATGACCCACCAGTATTAGGAGTATAAAGTATAGACGCCATGACCCACCAGTAGAGGAGTGTAAAGTATAGACGCCATGACCCACCAGTAGAATAGTATAAAGTATAGACGTCATGACCCACCAGTAGAGGAGTGTAAAGTATAGACGCCATGACTCACCAGTAGAGGAGTATAAAGTATAGACGCCATGACCCACCAGTAGAGGAGTATAAAGTATAGACGCCATGACTCAGCAGTAGAGGAGTATAAAGTATAGACGCCATGACCAACCAGTAGAGAAGTGTAAAGTATAGACGCCATGACCAACCAGTAGAGAAGTGTAAAGTATAGACGCCATGACCCACCAGTAGAGAAGTGTAAAGTATAGACGCCATGACCCACCAGATAGTATAAAGTATAGACGTCATGACCCACCAGTAGAGGAGTGTAAAGTATAGACGCCATGACCCACCAGTAGAGGAGTATAAAGTATAGACGCCATGACCCACCAGTAGAGGAGTGTAAAGTATAGACGCCATGACCCACCAGTAGAGGAGTGTAAAGTATAGACGCCATGACCCACCAGTAGAGGAGTATAAAGTATAGACGCCATGACCCACCAGTAAAGGATGTCGTTGGCTCCATGGGTCTCGTATCGCACGGAGGTCGCCAGGGAGCGCAACGCTGCTTCCCTCAGCCAACACAGCGCCTCCATGGAGCGTAGCCAGTGATATATCACCTCCAGGTCCTGTCAACACACAGTATATCACCTCCAGGTCCTGTCAACACACAGTATATCACCTCCAGGTCCTGTCAACACACAGTATATCTTATATCACCTCCAGGTCCTGTCAAAACACAGTACATCACCTCCAGGTCCTGTCAACACACAGTATATCACCTCCAGGTCCTGTCAACACAAGATATATCACCTCTAGGTCCTGTCAACACACAGTATATCACCTCTAGGTCCTGTCAACACACAGTATATCACCTCTAGGTCCTGTCAACACACGATATGTAACCTCCAGGTCCTGTCAACACACGATATGTAACCTCCAGGTCCTGTCAACACACGATATATCACCTCCAGGTCCTGTCAACACAAGATATATCACCTCCAGGTTCTGTAAAACAAGTGGTAAATGTCTTCAAGTCACGGTATATTCTCCTAGGTCGTGTCAACACACTATATATCAGCTAATATACCACCACACGGTAAATTAATAATAAACAATTCAATGCTTTTCACCTCATGCCACATCGCCTTCACTACCCATAAATGGCTAATGTAACAACATCAACATCATGTAACAACATCAAGTCATGCCAATAAACATTTTCTAATCACTATTCTTTCGCGTGATGAAAACAAAAAATCTCAACACGTCCGATTCTTATGGATAGAACTAGATCTCTCATGGATAGAAAACTAGAGATAATAATAATAGTAAGGCTATATAAGAGGACTAGTAAGGCTATATAAGAGGACTAGTAAGGCTATATAAGAGGACTAGTAAAGCTATATAATGAACGCAGGACGGTAAGTCCTACACGACAACATCCGCGTCCTTGGGAGCAGTTAGGAGAGCCGCACAGGAGCACCAAATGTGCGCTACCGCCCACAGCACGACGCTCTGCCAGGCCGTGTGGGCTGAATATGCACGCACGACGCTCTGCCAGGCCGTGTGGGCTGAACATGCACGCACGACGCTCTGCCAGGCCGTGTGGGCTGAACATGCACGCACGACGCTCCTGCCAGGCCGTGTGGGCTGAACATGCACGCACGACGCTCTGCCAGGCCGTGTGAGCTGAATATGCTCGCACGACGCTCTTAATTGTTAAGGTACGATTTTTTTAAGAAACTAGCGGGCATTTCTAGCTATAGTTTATTTTACTTTCTGGTTTGGTGAGACTTGGTATAGGTGGGTTACACGAACACGAATTTTCGTGTAAAGGAAATCCAACAAATGGACCAGACGCGTGATGATTAATAAAAATGGCATAAGAAAAATCATTCTAAGCTGGATTTGTACAGACTCCATTCTGTAAGGATATACACCACTCCCCGAAAATTTATGCCACTCATAAAAATCATACCACAACGTCACCGCAATGTCTACCACACCATCACAACTCTACACATCACCACCGCAATGCATATAACTTCACCACCATTACACATCACCACCGCAATGCATATAACTTCACCACCATTACACATCACCACCACAATGCATATAACTTCACCACCATAATGCATCACCACAGACGGCAGGCGGGCGTTGCCACAGTGCACGTGTAGCCACAGGGTGTGGCCACCGGCCTCTGCCAGTACCGAAGTAGCGAGCGCTGACCGCATGGAAATTATGGCCGGAATACGGTCGCCACTCAGCGGCCGCACAAATGCCGACCATGATCCTCAACAAGATACAAAGAAGATCCCAGCACTGAAAATTTGCATTAAATTAGAAAAAGGCCCAAAAAAATCTAGCATTTTCGTGAATAGCTGTTTCCTGCTTCCAAGTTCGTCAGTTCAGTTCCTGTACAAAATTCAGTTCATTGAGTACACGAAACGAGCCAGTGCACAATTGTGTGAGTGAACAGCAATACACAATTGAGTAAATAAAGCAAAACTTGAGAAATATCAAAACTCGCTGTGTGATAAGCAGGATGTGTGAATTGAAGATAGAGGCAGGCTGAGCAGCAGCCTGTAGGACAGGAAAGAAGGCCGCGCAGGCTAAGAACACAATGAACATGTGACGTGTGTTCACGATGATGCTGGAACAGTCAATGAACATGTGACGTGTGTTCACAATGATGCTGGAACAGTCGATGAACATGTGACGTGTGTTCACGATGATGCTGGAACAGTCAATGAACATGTAACGTGTGTTGACGATGATGCTGGAACAGTCAATGAACATGTAACGTATGTTAATTGATGAGCCAGCAATGTGCATGCACAGAATCAATAATTGCCAAAGAATTGCAAAATTCCACGGAAATCTTGCAATGACTATAGCCGTCTGTTTAATTATCCATGCTGCGGTCATGTATTGGTTTCAGCATTTGGTCCCATAATTCGAGTCATGAAGCTTGAAAAATAACGATGTAGACAACCTATGAATTATAATTTGCATAAACTGCCGGTCCCTCAAATGCCACCGATACGCCGACCAAGATTCTACGCAAGTAACGGACAGATGCAACGCGCTCTGCGCTGCGCATCTGTCGCAACTTCCGCATGCGGAAAAAATTCAAAGTGTCCACGATCCGCGGCACGTGTTGCCGCTGCTATCGATCGTCCGGTGGAGCAGCATAGGAAATAAATGGAGTTCGTGTCGTACTAAATTTCTCAGGAAATTGTACAATGCAGGTAGTGCAACGATTTTTGGGCGTTCCAGGATTCGTTGGAACGATATACGACAGTGTTACACCAGCATGGGAATCATACTTCGATTTTCCTAGCAGAGTTAGAATCAAATTTCGAAGTTGCAAGCTTCATTGTGACGAGAACTCGACTTTCGAAGCAACATTGGAACGAATTTTCATTGTTGCAAGCCTCGTGGGAGCGAAAATTCATAATTTTAAGCTGCATTGGGACGATGATTCAACGTTCCAAGCTTCATTGGAAGCATACATCTACGTCCCAAGCTGCATTGGAGCGATACTTCTACGTTCCTAGCAGCATTGGAGCGATACATCTACGCTACAAACTGCATTGTAAGGATACTTCCTCGCTCCATGCTGCATTGAAACGATACTTCCACGCTCCAAGCTTCACTGGAAGGATGCATCTACGCTCCAAGCTGCACTAACAACACTCTCAGCAGTAGAGTGCCCGAGCTCGAGACCTGTTGAGCGCAACAAGCTAACCTTGCGCACCAAGTTTCTTTGAGCTGCAACGAAACAAAAGCCAGGGACGTCTTATCAGCGACACAGAGGACGACGTCGTGCAGCGCACCAGACGTAATGGACATCAACTTCTGGGGGTGGTGGTGGTAGGAATGAGGAGATCGTGGTTGTAGTGGCACTGAGAAATGATGATTGTGGTAGTTGAGACAATAGTGTATATAGTAGTAGCGACATGACAATAGACTAGTAGCTTTTGGAGGTTGGTGTTGTATTGAAGATATTCCATTTTTGAAAATAGTTTGAGTTCTGAGAATATTTTTCAGTTATTACATTTTCAAGAATTTCCATATTATTTTAGTTCTGATTACGAATCAATACTAAACTTTAGCATAACGCACTGACTCGTTGACTGGCCTCAGATATACGCGGTTCTGTGCTACCATGCAGGCTGACGGTAGCGAAAAAACTCTGTCTAGAATGACGCGCATTGAAATTGCTGTGAATGTTACCAAAATAATTGATTCAAATATTGATACAACATCGGCGTAGTGATACAATGGAGATCTAAAGCTGATAGACAATGTTAATTAGAAATCTGCGGCGCAAAGGCTTAATTGCCAGGTCCTACGCACATGTGCGATGTTCTAATTGAATCAATTCAATTCTTGAATAGTTTAATTGTTGAATCCCTTCATTAATTGCTGCTTGAATTCCTTTGCTATGTGCAGAAAAAATGAGCTTGACCAATTACGCTGGCTCTGAATCCAACCCGTTTTATGTCAAGAAACAGTAACGCCCTAGAGCTTACGAAACAGGAACGCGTTTGAGCTTACGAAACAGGAACGCGTTTGAGCCCNGCATGCAACAACTGCACAGCTTATCACTGCACTGCATGCAACAACTGCACAGCTTATCACTGCACTGCATGCAACAACTGCACAGCTTATCACTGCACTGCATGCAACAACTGCACAGCTTATCACTGCACTGCATGCAACAACTGCACAGCTTATCACTGCACTGCATGCAACAACTGCACAGCTTATCACTGCACTGCATGCAACAACTGCACAGCTTATCACTGCACTGCATGCAACAACTGCACAGCTTATCACTGCACTGCATGCAACAACTGCACAGCAACTCTTCCTACGGAAGAGTTGCACTCTTGTTCGTTGGTGATGTGAAAACTTTTTTAAGATATATTACTTAAAAAGAATTGTTTTCTCGTAATTCGGAGTTAAAAAATACTATTGCTTGTTAATTAGTGTGATAAAAGATGATATTATTATGAATTTGAGTTATAAAGAAATTATTCATCAGATAATTGCGGTTATAGATAAATCGACCATCAGTCACTCTCAAATTTATATCTTCTTATTTATATCCTTTATCGGTCGATCAGTGTATCAATGATGATGAAAATAATCTTTTCATAACATTTAGAAATAGTTATTGCAATGCAGTTATTAAATACGAACTAGCATGACAGTAATTACAGTCTCTGATCAAGAATTGACGCTTCAACAGAGAGAAGAACAAAGGATCTAATTTTGCATCTCTTCAAGTTAATCTAACTCATTTATATCCAAACTAAACCTCCCGTCACTTACTGCCTGCTAAACTCACTGCCTGCTAAACTCTCTGCCTGCTAAACTCTCTGCCTGCTAAACTCTCTGCCTGCTAAACTCTCTGCCTGCTAAACTCTCTGCCTGCTAAACTCTCTGCCTGCTAAACTCTCTGCCTGCTAAACTCTCTGCCTGCTAAACTCTCTGCCTGCTAAACTCTCTGCCTGCTAAACTCTCTGCCTGCTAAACTCTCTGCCTGCTAAACTCTCTGCCTGCTAAACTCTCTGCCTGCTAAACTCTCTGCCTGCTAAACTCTCTGCCTGCTAAACTCTCTGCCTGCTAAACTCTCTGCCTGCTAAACTCTCTGCCTGCTAAACTCTCTGCCTGCTAAACTCTCTGCCTGCTAAACTCTCTGCCTGCTAAACTCTCTGCCTGCTAAACTCTCTGCCTGCTAAACTCTCTGCCTGCTAAACTCTCTGCCTGCTAAACTCTCTGCCTGCTAAACTCTCTGCCTGCTAAACTCTCTGCCTGCTAAACTCTCTGCCTGCTAAACTCTCTGCCTGCTAAACTCTCTGCCTGCTAAACTCTCTGCCTGCTAAACTCTCTGCCTGCTAAACTCTCTGCCTGCTAAACTCTNCATATAGATGTGTATAAGAGACAGGCTTATCGCCCGCTTGTCAGCGCCTGACTTTCATTTATCCAGGAGACGCGCGCGCTATTCATTACCCTATTGAAATTCTGAGCTGAATTTGCACCGGCGGATCGTCGATGATTTAAATACGTGTAATATATAATATCTAATTTTGCTCCGTAGCTTCGAAATAAATTACAAATTGTACATAAAATTATCAATTTATAATACATGACGCAATTATAATCACAATGGCGATAATAATTGAACAAAATCGATATAACGTCATAACATTTTATTTCCAGGTTCTATTCATTAATTTAGCTTTATTTGTTTCCGAAAAAATTAAATTTCACTAAGAAAGAAGCAGTCGCTAGTGAAGTTTGTGTTTTATATTATACATGAAGAAAATGCCGTCTTTATATATATCTTATAGTATACATCAAGCAAATGCAATCTCGTTTATTATTGGTTGATTAAAATTGCTGTAAAAAAACTTTAGTAATTTGGTGAAAAACTTCATTAGCTGCTAGAAGTTTGTAATGCTTCACTGGTTGCATGCAGATCTTCATGCACTCGCTGCATTCACTGGTTGCATGCAGATCTTCATACACTCGCTGCATTCACTGGTTGCATGCAGATATTCATACACTCGTTGTATTCACTGGTTGCATTCACTGAGCAGTTCAAATGCAAGGGCAGGGAAAGTCTCGCGTCAAAACAAGAGGCGTGTCATGGTCGGCCACCGATGGGGCGCCCTTAAACCACCTATAATTCGTACAGAAGGCGGGGCACGCACAGCAACAAGGTCGCGGCGCATTGTTCTGTACGAGCGTTCACGCTCGATTTCTGTCTGCTGGGAACTACGCGAGTTGAGAAAACAGAAACCTTTTAATTTACGCCTAATTCCTAATTTGTTTCCGAATTTTTAAATATTTTTATCCTTAATTTTATCAACTTGAAGTTTGTTTTGAAAATTTTTTCTGCCCCAGAAAATGTTTATACAAGTGATTCAATTATCACAATGAAAGTATTGACTTTTATCGAATTACGGTACATTACTTATTTTGATAAAGAATCGATCAGAAATAATCCAAAGCTATCATTTGAAAATCGATCTCAAATCATAGCTTTGGTACAAATTTTAACGTAAAGCGTTCATTGCTATATAATGTATGTAGAACAGCATGCTTTTAACTGGAGCCCTATGCTATTCAAATTAGCATTCTAATTCTCGGTCCACTCTTCTTCGGCAGTAATTTACAATCAGGTAGCGCAGACCAGAAAACATACTACAATTCATAAACATATCATCCATAACAATTATAATTGACACTAAACATAGTCGATGTGAACACACTATATCATTACTAACATATGTTGATAATAGAACACATTATCATTGTACCCACATAATCATTTAGAATTCACTATCATTCATAACGCATTATCATAAATAACGTTTGACCATTGATTATAGTTACACAATATTATTGCCACCACATCATCATTTGGAATACACTCGTACAATCATTCTTAAGACACGATTATTAAAAATTCAAGAACGAAGAAAACGTTAAGTAAATTCCCGTTATCTTCAAAGGATAAGGTAAATTTACTTGGCATTTTCTTTGCTTTTAAGGCAAAAGTGAACTTGCAATTTAAGTAAGTGATATACAGTAATTACTATCACTAATCACCAGGACCTATACTTTCAAAAAAGGTAAGAGATCGTAAGTTCATCAGCCAATCATTGACGGCCTTTCAAGCAATATCCACCAATAACAGAGAAGAAAATAGAGCGTAAGTACTTACGTTCACTTAGCGAGTTTTGAAAGAATGGCCCCTGTTTATCATGTCATTGTTCACCACGTCTCACCTGCGCAGTCCGGCGACCAGGTACCACCTTGAGCGCATCGATGAAGCAACCGTCTTGGTACTCGTCCAGCCTTCTGGTAGCTGTCTTATGCCGGTGCTGTGGTGGTACATCAACCATGTCAGCCACCATGTTGCTCCTCATGTTGTCCATGTTACCTTTGATGTCAGTCATGTTGAGTCCAATGTCGCTCATGTTACCTCTATTGTCACCAGCGTTGACGCTTCGGTCATACCTCGAGGTGCTCAAACTACCTCTGCAGTTAATCATGTCTTCTTTGTTATTGAAGTCAACGCGTCTGTTATCAACGTTGACATCGATACGAGTCATGTTATGATGAATCGTACCATCCATGTTGCGTGCCGTATCTCGCATGTTGCTTTTCATGTCGCCCATATTTAAGCTCATGTCGCCCATGTCTCGCAACATGGCGTTCGTCGCAGCATTTCGGAACGGTTAATTCTGAAATCAAACCACTGCAATATGAAGCTACGTTGAAATCTGACAGCCAGACCTTGTTGAACAGACACAGCTGTGTCAGCAGATGCGCTCGTTGGCACGAGTCAACTCATTGAAAAACCGGTGTTACCGTCAGTCTCGTTCATCAAAGTTCAATTTAACAACTCAATAAATGTTAGTTTTCAATAATCTCGCTCTTCAGCGGTGTAGTCCGTCAACTTCAAATATTCTTATTAGCAGCGTAAGAACCATAATTTCACGTTTCATCGACATTTTCTCTCTTTAATTGATATAGTCCACACAAAAAAATATTTATTCTCGAACTTGCCCCGTTCAGAATATAGCTTATAAGTGTTCATACACTAATTAATGCTGATAGTGAATCACCTTAATGCTAAGATTTTTCACTCAACCTTTTCCAACAATTCATTCTCAATCAATGTCACTGAACTTGTTTATGCTTTCACGTTTGAATTTTAATTTTCAAAGTAAATAAGAAACAAGCACATGGGAATTAATTCATAACTAGATAATCTTTCCCTAAAAGAAATTTAAAATTCATTCTCACTTATAAGGAGAGGAACCAATTGACCAGATTGACAAACTCATTATTGAATGACATCAGAAGGTAACTCGTCTGAAAAAGATAAAATTCATGAATCCATATAATATGAAAAAATGACATAAATAAATTATATAACCTCATGCATGAAAAAGATAGCAAAAAGAAGCTGAATAAAAGAAGAAATCCAATCTAAATGAAAAGAATAATAAAAAACAGTAATATGAATAATTTACAATATAACATTCAGAAACTGTTTACCAATAACACCACGCGATCACGAGCACACATTTCATGCGTACATATGTGCCTACTACACACATCTACACATCTGTATGTGCTTCCGTACGTCCATTTACAGACGTGCAATATAAGTATACTAATAACAGCACACCTGTGCGTACTTATAAACGTGCAATAGGTGTACACGAGTAACCAGACATCTGCGCGTACACGCTTGTACGTCTGGCATTGTACGTCTGGCATTGTACGTCTGGCATTGTAAGTCTGGCATTGTAAGTCTGGCATTGTACGTCTGGCATTGTACGTCTGTGGCATTGTACGTCCGGCATTGTATGCCTGGCATTGTACGTCTGGCATTGTACGTCTGGCATTGTACGTCTGGCATTGTACGTCTGGCATTGTACGTCTGGCATTGGACGCGTCATCCGCAGTAACAGGGCCGAGGTCGCGCGTTCAGGGGATACGGATGCGGGTAGTGGCGTGATAACCGCCATAACGATGTTCCCATGAGCAACAGTCGTCACTACTGTTCTCGCGCGTACAAACGGTCATGCTGGTGACATGCATAACAGCCGGCTAGTTGTTATCACGCATAACACCAGTCATGCAAACATAGTATGCAACAGCGATGGTGTTATCACGTGTAACATCGATGTTGTTATCACGCATAATAACAGCCATGCAATTATAGTGTGTAACAACGATGTTGTCGTCGCGTGTAACAGTTGTCACGCTGTTAATTACCAGGTAGCAATCGTAACGGACTAATGATTGTTATCTACATAAAAGATAGCATAATACGAACATGAAATATTTTTAATGCTGACTCAAAGAAATATCAATAAGGCAATAATTGGTTTTCATATATTGTATGAAAACATTGAATTTTTTATAAAATTTAATGATACGAAATATGAAATATTTATAAAAATAATATGACATGAAATAGAAAACCACAGCGTGGTGAATTAAATGTACGATCGCATATAATATATACTGTAAAATCGGCGGAACGACGCTTGAGCGTCGGACGACCGCAGCCTGAAGCCATATGGAACCGCTGGCTGAAGCCGTACGTGTCTCTTGAATAGTAAAAAAATTACATCAAATTAAGGCTTTAAATATTGAAGTGAAACTAGGAAATCACCATCATGGTAAAATTTAATTATATTTAAAACTTGTATCATTCCATTCTTTACCAGCAAGACATAGAAGATAATATTCAAAAGCAAAGAATATTGTTTGAATTGACGTCATTTCTACCACACATGTGTGCTTATACACGGTGGGGGAGGGGTAGGTTAAACTGATAGTAGTAGTGGCAAGTATCTTTCAATTCAAATATCGTACTAAAAATTGGAAAAAACACATTTTCAATTTTTTTATTAATTATAAATTTATCAATGTTGTCAAAAATAATGGCTAAAATTAGAAGAAATTGCCCAAAAATTCGAAGCGAAAATTACTTGCCGCAACAACTATCAGCTAATATTTTCCCTAAATGTACTCAATATCCCCGTTGAGGCGGAGGCACATGTCATGATGCTGTTATAACTCGTGAGACTGTGGCTCTTATTTTAGGTGTTGCGGTGTTAATAAGTGTTACTTTGATGATTGGTGTTGCAGTGTTGAGAAATGCTGAACATTAAAAAATCGCAAGCATCTACTCCCAACGATGGCAAAAAATCAGCCTTTTAACAGCGTTTAAAGATCTCTGTATTACATATGAGGGGCCCGTGGCTGGCCGGACATAACACTACCATAACTTTTAACAGAGAAGACGTAATTTGAGTCTCGAGTTGTACGTTGCGAGCTATAAATGAGGGCTGGGCACAGCTGGTGGTATTGGGCAGGGAGAACAAAGACGAGTTCTCTTAAGAATGTTTTCTCTGTCAATAACTTCTTCTAAGCCGTGCCATTCGTGACTTCTTGTAATAATAGCAAATTACTTTTCATCAAAATTTAGAGGTAAGAAGATTATACTTGTTATCTAAACAGTTTAATTTTGTCATCTTTTCGAATGACCACAGTTCCCGTCAATACCGTCTCAAAACGTGTCTAAAATTGTTATCGATTTACTGCAAGGACTACTACACACAGGACATGCATAGCCTATGTCCAGCCTCTGCTAGCAGAGGCGATCGCCTACACTATGAAAATGCTGGTGTTTTAGTGGCATCAACAAATGATATGCCCATAATTGTTTCATACAATAGTATTATCACATTGTAATACTATTGTATGAAACAATTATGGGCATATCATTTGTTGATGCCACTAAAACAACAGCATTTTCATAGTGTAGGCGATCGCCTCTGCTAGCAGAGGCTGGACATAGGCTATGCATGTCCTGTGTGTAGTAGTCCTTGATTTACTGTTAAGCAACTTATTTTATAAATAAAATACTCAACTAATGCATAGATTACAGTGAACTATTCACTAAATATATATCACCTGCTTTTCTAATCTTAGCAAAAATAGTATTTCGGTAACAGCTTATCTGATAAATAGATCAATAAGCTATGAACTACACAGATACATTAATTTTGATGCACAGCAAGAGGTATCGGGTGCATTAAAATGAGCTATCTACGATATAATAGACCATGACATCGCCTTCATAGATAACATATTATTTGGAGCACGGATTGCTACCACGCGCATATAGGTCACAAACAGCGCATGGAAGTTGTGCATGAGGTACCAACAGCAAATGTTGGGCGATGCTGCTATACTGCAGGACGCTCGGGATAACAGCGCTTCAGTCTTCAGTTCAGAGACTCTAGTTTAGCATCGTTCAACTCGTGAATGAAGCTCAGTTTAGTTTAATTTAGTTTAGTTTAGTCTCCAGTTCAGAGACTCTCGTTTATCATCGTTCAACTCATGAATGAAGCTCAGTTTAGTTTAGTTTAGTCTTCAGTTCAGAGACTCTTGTTAAGCATCGTTCAACTCATGAATGAGGCTCAGTTTAATTTAGTTTAGTCTTCAGTTCAGAGACTCTTGTTTGGTCTTCAGTTCAGAGACTCTTGTTTAGTCTTCAGTTCAGAGACTCTCGTTTATCATCGTTCAACTCATGAATGAAGCTCAGTTTAGTTTAGTTTAGTTTAGTTTAGTCTTCAGTTCAGAGACTCTCGTTAAGCATCGTTCAACTCATGAATGAAGCTCAGTTTAGTTTAGTTTAGTCCTCAGTTCAGAGACTCTTGTTTATCATCGTTTAACTCATGAATGAGCTCAGTTTAGTTTAGTTTAGTCTTCAGTTCCGAGACTCTTGTTTATCATCGTTCAGTTCATGAATGAAGCTCATTTTACTTTAGTATAGTCATCAGTTCAGAGACTCTTTTTAGCAGTCAATTCAGAGTATTTCTGAATTGACTGCTAAAAAGAGTCTCTGAACTGATAACTATACTAAAGTAAACTGAGTTTCATTCATGAGTTGAACGATGATAAACGAGAGTCTCTGAACTGAAGACTAAACTAAATTAAACTGAGCTTCATTCATGAGTTGAACGATGCCTGTTCCAACTAATCGATAAAGTTTGAACTAAACATTGTCAATTGCGTCCGCAACATCAGAACGCATACTACATATAAGAAGATATCATCAATAAAAATATTGATCTAAAAGCAAGTGTACTTCAACATTCAATAATAATTGAACAAAATTTCAATTCATATTACCATGCATACCAACCGCATTAATTCACAAATGAAATGTCACAATAATTCACAAACATTATCTAGTTTAAATGCGAAATAAGTCAATCTTTCCTCCTTTTTCATCCATGAAAAAAATGTAACTTAATACTTATATCATTGGGTATAAATATATAAGCAAAATATCTATTTTGCTCAAGAACTATTTAAAATGAGATAATGAGAATTAGTAATGAATAAATGCGATATTGAGAATTAGTAATGAATAAATGAGATATTGAGAATTAGTAATGAATAAATGCGATATTGAGAATTAGTAATGAATAAGCCATGTATTGCTCAGGAACTACGTGTATGAGACGAGGGCTTATATATATACAGTATATAGGGTGGTAGCGCAGGGGCGAGACAGCAGAGCACCTGCAGCATTTCCTGGGCTGGTGACGTCATCGTCACCTGAACACACACATGTGTACGTGGTGAACGTACGTGTACGTGGTGAACATACGTGTACGTGATGAACAGACACACGTGTACGTGATGAACAGACATACGTGTACGTGATGAACAGACGTGTACGTGATGAACAGACGTGTACGTGATGAACAGACGTGTACGTGATGAACGTACGTGTACGTGATGAACATACGTGTACGTGATGAACAGACATACGTGTACGTGATGAACATACGTGTACGTGATGAACATGCGTGTACGTGATGAACAGACGTGTACGTGATGAACATGCGTGTACGTGATGAACAGACGTGTACGTGATGAACATACGTGTACGTGATGAACATACGTGTACGTGATGAACATACGTGTACGTGATGAACATGCGTGTACGTGATGAACAGACGTACGTGTACGTGATGAACAGACGTGTACGTGATGAACAGACGTGTACGTGATGAACAGACGTGTACGTGATGAACAGACGTGTACGTGATGAACAGACGTGTACGTG